CAATGTATTGCTAATATACTCTATCACATGTTCAGCATTCTTAGACGTTATTAATCAAGCTTTCACAAACCTCCTTTCCTTTATGACTCTGCAGATTAGTGAAGTCAAAAACCCTTTTTATTTTTTCCGAAGTTTTAAAATATTATCACTTGCTATTTTTTATAGACAAAAAATATACTTTTTACTAAATTGCTAAAAACAAATAACTTTAACTATATCTTGACATCGCATTAATTCCTCTACAATGAAACAAATGAAAGAAGCAATTTTATCTCCCTAGTGATAGTATCTGACATATCTGACAGCAGTATAAATAAATAAAAATTAAGCTGCGACTCTTCTTAGATTCAATTTTCTTTCCACCTATATACAAGTGCTTTTATAGGATGCCACGTCCTCGTTTTTCTCGACCATCACAACGAAATAATCCACCACCATAAAGACCTACTACAATAACCATCGGAACGAACACTGATGAATAGTAAGATCCAGCACAAAAAATAACATTCTTAATTTGAGATATTCTGGGAATAATCTGAATAATACTTAAAAAAATACTAATACAATTCTATTAATAAATTCAACAAAACTTGCTAAATTATCTAAATACATCTTCTATTAAATCCAAATCAATCTTGTATAAAAATGAGTCTATGTTTTTTTTTATTTCAAATTGAGTTTTGAATAAAAAATAACACCTCATTTTTACCAAGACAGAGGGACTAAGGGGACTAACTAAGCGGACTAAGGGTAGGAATAATGGTGTACACAGAGACGTGCATGGGTCGCGGCTCTTCGGGGGGCGCTTCGCGTCTCGACGCCGCGATGATGAAATAAAAGGTGTGTTAGGTGGGGAAACACGCTTCCCCACTGAATAGTCCGCTTAGTCCCCTTAGTCCCTTATTTCAATTTGAAATCAAGTGCTCTTTTTTCTGTTTAAATTTAGATTGAAATTAAATAACCCATTGTATGATAAAAAATCGACATAATTCATGCATTGAAATCAAAATTATTGCTGTATTAAAATCCAAACAATTGTTTTATTAAAATCTAAATAAAAGTTTCGTAATTGATTTAAAAATTTTTCTTGAATCATCTAAATAACTCTTCAATTGAAAAATCAGAGAAAATTTCATTAATTATTTCTTTTAGTCCTCAATACAATTCAACAATCGGTTATCTTTTGGTGTCCATATTCTGTTGTATGATAATTTGTATTAGTTATCACATTTCATTTATGCCAGAGAGGAAAGATTGAGAAGTAAAGTTAAGCGATTGGAAAATGCCAATATACTCGTTAATGGGAATTGGGATGGCGCTTGTGAGTGCACTTGGATTCGGGAAGCCATATAGTCCTGCAGTGATTACAATTGTCGGGTTTATTTTAAATGTTGTGGTGTCACGGTTTTTTCCTGGACTATACGATTGGCTTAAGAAGTCATGTTTGTCGCTGGTGGTTTTGGCATTGTTTATTGAATTTTTTTGGAAATGGTGGTCGCGCCGATGTGTAAATAAACATGACGTTTAGATTTTATTTTTTTCAAATTTTATTTTCGTTAATGTTTATTTTTTCAAAGTTTTTCTGTTCCATCTGTTTGTTAGTTAGTTGCGTTCAGAGATGGACGAGTCAGCAAAAAAGTCGCACCGTCACCGCCCCGCCCCGCACCGCTGATAAAGTTCCACACCGCCACCGCCCCGCCTGTTTAGCATTGAAACCGCCACCGCCCCGCCCCGCCCCGTCAAAAATATGTTTTAAAAAACTATTTATTGGCAAATTTTTCATTAAATTTTCATAATGGCTATTTCATTTCATGAGATGAAGAGGCATATTTTAAATGCATAAACATCATTCCGAAATAGAAAAAAATAAATATATGAAAAAGAAAGGCAATTATAATACAGTCACTCATTTTGTGGAACTCACGGATATTTTCGAATAAAATAGTAATTGTAGGTTTTAAGTTCGAGGTTTGGCGGCTCTCTCCCTTCCCCCACTCCATTACAGGCACTCCACTCAGGGTTGCCAGATCTTCCGATACGGCAGGAAAAATTGCGATTTTTTGAAAGTTTCTCCAACGACCTTCTGACGTTCCGATTTTAACATATTTTTCCGATAGCCTTCAGATTTCCTAATTTTCCTCCGGTTTTCGAAGTCTTATTTGGGAATTCAAGTTCTTAGGACATTCTAGAATAGTTTAACCATGACACGACACCACACATATACAGCGATCTATTTCACCATAGTTATTGGGTAGTGAAGCGTCATGAACTCAACAAACCACACTGCAGTGATTTGAAAGCATATCCTCCAATAAAACTATGATGTTTTACAGACAATTAAGATCCAGCTTTCTATCACGATGAACTAACTTTCTCTGTTCGTTTACTATAGTGTTAATTAAGGATATTTTCGTTTCTGAGCTTTTTTTGTTTCATCACAGATATAATAAAATTAATCATTATCGTATGGGTACTAATTTAGCTGTTGCAGAATTGAAAATCGGAATGAATTCTGTTTATACTTGTGGACATTTTTATGAATATCTGTTACCTCAACCTGATATTTTGAAGAGTATTCGAGCTAATAAAAAAGTATGAACCAAAACGAACATTATACAGAATAAGTCTTAGTTTTCTTTTGCATAAGTTTTGTGAAATGCATGTGTGTGTATGAATTTACAATACTGATTCTATTGTTTCGTCAAGTTGGTTATAGCATTTTTGATAAAAATAATGTGATCCTGTTCAAATTACTTATGTAGATTTCTCAATCATGAGTAAATTGTGTAATCGATATTTTCTTTAATTCTTTATGAAATATCATTTCCGATATTGCTTCGAAAAGATGAACAGAAGCAAGATAAAGGATATTGAAGCTATCGAAAATATATAAACTAGTTATTTAAGCATGGAAAAATACTTTCTGATTTTCTTCCGATTTCGAGAACAAAAATTCCGACTTTTTCCCGATTTTTAGAAAAATTTTTCTGATTTTTTAATTTTCGATCTGGTAACCGTGACCACCACCATTACAAACCTTAGCAGCGCATTAAAGGCTCTAGTTTTTTGTATAATATATCAATGATTTCATACGTATTCGGAAAAAAGGTATTTTACAATTTAAAAATAAGGCATCAGGACAAAAATTTAAAAAAATATATGTGAGTTCCACATTTTAGCTCCTCTGGAGCTGCGCTAACAAGTCTGTTTTTACTGATTAGTTTTGTGAAAAAATTTTTAAATTTTTAAAAGATGTCTATAAAGCAGAGATGTCCATCGCGGCTGAAAATCTGCCGCTGCCGCGCCGCGGCCTTAGAAAAAAAAAGTTGCCGCACCGCAGCCGCGCCGCGACGGTCTATAAAAAAATGTTGCCGCGGCGCTGCCGCGCCGCGATGGCTTATAAAAAAAACGTTGCCGCGCCGCTGCCGCGATGAATTATCAAATAAACGTGCCGCCGCCGCGCCGCTGCCGCGTCGGTTTACAAAAAAGTGTTTCTAATTTCACTGCTGCGACTATATTTGACCAGAGATATTGGTACTAGTCCATCAGATTCATTCAGTCTCGGGGTGTTTCATTTGTAAACCCTGAAATTCTATTAAATTCATGCAGTTTTTCAATGTTCCCCAAAAAAATCCTGCCGCTGCCGCGCCGCTGCCGCGATGGTCTTTTAAAAAACCTGCCGCTACCGCGCCGCTGCCGCGATGATTTTTAAAAAATCTACCGCTACCGCGCCGCTGCCGCGGTGATTTTTTAAAAAACCTGCCGCTGCCGCTGCCGCCACAGGCCATCGCGGCAGCGGCGCGGCAGCGGCGCGGCAGCGGTAGCGGCGCGGCAGCGGCGCGATGGACATCTCTGCTATAAAGGTCTGAGTATATTTAAAAAATCAAGGTTATACAAAGGCGGGGAAACCGCGAAATTTTGTCATGCACCGTCACCGCCCCGCCCCGTCAAGTTTTAGCACCGCCCCGCGGCGGGGCGGGGCGGGGCGGGACGGGGCGGTTTTACACCGCGGCTCGTCCATCTCTGGTTGCGTTTTATTAAAAATTTGATCTATTCACATATTTGTCTCGCGGATGTTAAACTTCAGTTACATTAATTAAGTTTCTTCTTCACGATTATTTTTCGATATACAATTAGATGTGATCTGATGGCCAATATTATTATGAACTTATCTTTAGCCATGTCTTTTTATTACTAAAATGGTTTGGTAGTCATCTCATATTAGCTTCTCTTTATGATTTAAAAAATAATTAATCATCGTTTTCCTGTTTTTCACCATTTTGCATGAAAATAAACATGAGACAGTTTAAAGATCTTGAGAATGTTATTTATGATAATTAAGAGTTATTTTGTTTAACAAGAAAACTATTTAGAAAAACATCAAAGCAAACTTGATAATTCATCATGTCTGCATGAACAATCTCTTTCACAATATCCGTCGCCCGTTGCAATTATTGCAAAAGAAACGAAGAAAATAGAAATAATACTATAAATATAGTTGACAAAAGGAGAGAGAAAATGACGCACGTACATACAAGAATCAATCATTGTTCATTAACTAAAATCACAACAACAATTATAAATGAACACAAGCACTGATGATAATGATAATGATAATAATAATGATTAAAGAAAAAATTTTTCTGTTTTCAAAACAAAAAACTGATACATAGAAAAAAAAAGATTAGGAAAATATAGAAGCGAATAATTTATAGAGAAAATGAAAGAGAAATGCTCTAATCGTCAATAGTTATTGTACCCGATCGTTTCATTTTCTTATTCACTGATGCCAATGGATGATGAATGCGTGATCTTAATGAACATTTCTCACTATTAGTATTCGTTGAAGAATGTATATCTATAATAATCGAAGAGGAAGATGAAGAAAAAGATAAAGAAGGTACAAGAAGTAATGGTGGAGGTAAAACAGGAGATGCAAGTTCATGCTGAACACCATTAATAGCAACAGTTGCTCGTGATCTTAATGTCATTCCATATCTTTATGGTGGTGTTGTCGTTGTTAATGGATATTGATTGATTAATTGTGAAAGTCTTTCATCACTAAAGTCAAATGATGATAAAGATGAACTACCATTTGTTGGTGGACATGGAGCATGACGACCACGACAAACACCATTTCCACATAAACGACGAGTATGTGATAATATAGATGAAGGAACATTATTAGTAGATACAGCACCTGTAGTGGATATAGTTGTCGAACTTGATGTTGATGAACATGAATCAGTCGATTTTTTGTATATCAACCTCGTGCTAGAAGTTCATCGGTAACAGAAGATAATTGAAATTGATCAGCTTTTTGAAATTCGTGTATTGTTACATTAACAGCACGAACCTTTATAGAAAAATTAAATATTATTCATTTAATTTTCTTTTTTTTCTTCTCGAAATTACATATAATCAGAGATTGAGATGCTTGACAATGTATACTAGGTGTCATTAATAGATCATGTGATGTTTGAATACTTGAACCTCGAAGCCAAGTATTTCTTGATAAATCTTTAATTGTTAAACGTTTTGATGGATCAACTGTCAACAAACCTAATAAATAAAACAAATAATGAAATAAATATCTTTTCAATTAACATATGACATTTAACTAAATAATAATTATCAAAACAAACCTTTAACAAAATGTTTAGCTGCTAGTGAAACATTTTTCCATGCTGGTATATCATATGATAATTTCGAACGTGTAATATCTTCAACAATATCTTCAGCTGTTCGATGAGTTGTTATCGAATTAAATGAAACTTCACCACTTAACACTGTATATAAAATAACACCAAGTGACCATAAATCAAATGACTCATCATAATCATATGTAATTGGACTTGTATTTGTCAATGTAGAAGGTACAAGAGCTACAGTTGTACTTGTTGATGATAATGATGAAGACGAAGATGATACTGATGATATCGAAAGAGAAGATGATTGATAATGATTAAATGATGTTGCAGTACGATGTAATTCTAATGCTGTATATCTTGATAAAACAAAACAAAAACGTTTTACAATATAATTAAAATAAGTTTTATATTATCTTACAAGAGTGTACCACATGATGTTGCCATTGGTTGATGTTTAGTACGTTTTTTAGCAAAACCAAAATCAAAATCAATTATCTTTATTTCAGCATCCAGAAGAGATGATGAAAAAAAGTAAATTCTATAAAAGATAAATATTTATTTAGAATTTAAAAAAAAAATTCAATTAAGATTTTCATACTTCTGGTTTAAGATCTCGATGACATTAATCAGTACTATGCATGAAATTGACAACTGATACAAGTTTTCTCATTAATTGACTTGCTTCTTTTTCAGAAAGTGATGTTTGTATACGAATTCGATAGAAAAATTCACCACGCATCAATAATTCCATTATGATATATGTATTAAGCTTAATAAAAATGATACATCAAGATTATATTATTTAAATATTGACAATTAACAATAAATAGAATCAATACTCTAATAGTCTAGAATTTATTTTCATTATTTAACACAACTTTTCTATATTTTTACTAAAAAAAAATCATCGTATATATCAACTAAAGTATAAACTCTTTCTTCCTTTGACAAATAACAAACAATATTCATCCTATTATAGTACATGAATTAATTTATTTAATATACAAAATTAATCAA